TTTGGAAAAAAATTGGAAAAAAGGGGGATATAAAAAGCCCCCAAACCTTAAAACAAAACCCCGGAAAGGGGGGGGTTTAAAAAAAAAAAAAAAAACCCTTTTTTCCCGGGAAAACCCCCCTTTTTGAAAAAAGGAAAGTTCCCCCCCCCCAGGGGAAAAGGGGGGCTTTTTAAAACCCCCTAAAAAAAGTTTTTCCCCCGGAGGCCAAAAGGATTTTAAAAGGCCCCTTCCCCAAGGGGTTTTCCCCAAAGGTTTTTTTTTTTTTAAAATTTTCCCCCCAAAAAAAAAAAAATTTTTTTTCCCCTTTTTTTTTCCGGGGGTTTTTTTAAAAAAACCGGGGGGCCCCAAAGGGAAATTTTTTTTTTTCCCCCCCCTTAAGGTCCCCACCCTAAAACCCGGGGCCTTTAAACCCTTTTCCCCCCTTAAAAGGGGGGGGCCCCGGGGGGTTTTTTTTGGGGGGGAAAAAAAAATTTGGGGGGAAAAACCCCCCCCCCCCCCCCCCCCCCCCCCCCCCCAAGATTTTATTCCTGAGAGGGTGTGTTATCACTTGACGAACGAGGGTGAGCATGGTTGATGTCATGCATGATATTGCCCTTTTCCTCAGTCAGACTCAGACCTAGGTGAGACCCGGAGGAAACCTGGAAACCCAGAGGTGTAGTAGCCTTTTGGCACCACCATACAACGAACGAACTCATCAAGTAGAAGAATCGAGTAGGAGAAGCTTTGAGGGCTCACTCGAGCATTCGAGGGTTGTGTTGGGTGAACCCTAGAGGTAGGTAGTGATGGTGGTAAGCAACCCACCCCAGGCGTTGTGTCAGACGAAGGCCGCAACAAAAGTCAAAGTCGGGCAAGCCCGGTTAAAGATGGCACATGCACACGCACAGGCACAGGCACAATAAGGTGAGACCGCCGCGCTGCCTGAGAGGATATGGAAAAGACCGAAGTATGTGAGCAAGGGCTTACCGTGTCGTGTGGAATAGTTGCGCGGTTGTACTCGTACTGGTAGTACTCGCAGAACGATCCCCTTCTCTTGCGGAATCGAATGTCTGTCAAAACGTAGTGTAGAGGTCATGTGTACGACCAAGCTGTCAGTTCGTTGTCAATCCTGTCGTTTGTGTCAGTCTGGGGGAGAGTGACCTGGCCGTTATTCTAACATTGGAAGCGCGAGACGTATAATGCGGATCCTAAGTGAATACCAAATCATACTATCGGATGACATATATATCGCGAGTGTTGTCTTTATGGCCGTTATGACGAAAGTGGATAAACGTATGTACAGTGTGCTGTCGTTCAACTCGAAGCGCCCCCTGCCCTGACACATTACATGCCAGCCTACACAGACAACGCCCAGTTCTATCCTCAACCGCTTGGTTTGCATTGTCTATTCATCTTTACCATATGGTCCTAGAGGGTATGTAGAAGTTATGATCATTACCATACCGTCTTTCTGGGAATTATCATCGCCCTTGGCATATTCTCCTTGCAGTTCTGTTCTTCCTGCTAGTCCTGTTGTTCTGCCAGGCTTCCCTTCCCCTTCTTCCCCTTCACTCCTGCTTGAATTGACCTTACGACGATGACGAAGCGGCAGCTGGTGCCTTGTCACCAGTCTGTGTTGGGGGAACGAAAGGCTCGGCGGAACGGGGGATGGGCCAATGCGCATAGATCATCTGCTTCCTGAGGTGGACGGGTGTGACGTTGGGGGGCTGGTCGGGGATTTCCTTCTTGAGACCCTTTGTGGTGGGAAGAGACTTGGTAAGTTATCGCACAACAGTAATGGGACGAACATGTGGTGAGTCATGATGATATCGAGAAAGTAATAGGTAGAGCTTATGGACGGGGCGCACGCCAACATGGCTCTGCTCGAGCCATGCACTAATCCCATGTGGATTGTGCTGGTGACGAATGGATACTGGCCATCACTTACCAAGTTCTCAAAAACACACTTGTTCAGCTTCCATTCGGCAGGTCGGCATTGCCAGAGCTGCTGGTTGTTGTCCTCAAGGCATGTCCAGTGCTTGCGGAACTCTTCCAGGCATGACTTGTTGATGTCGGCGATACTGTGATGGAGGTTTGACCCCGTATCCATGTTAGCCAAAGTGTCTCCACAGTGTTCCCCATACTGATTATCCACGACATGACTCTCTCCTTTCTCTCCCGCCCTCTGTCTTATATTCCAATACCAAATCTGTAAACAGGTAGATTCACTTACACGCTCCGAGCGCATCGGGTAACCCTTCGGCCCTCCTTCAAACACTCAAACTCGCCCTTTCCAGGGTTCTCGTTCTTACACTGCATAAAATCATCGTTGTAATCGCGGCACCGGGCTCCGATGAAGTAGGCGGCCGACATAAGCGGGGCAGAACTGGCACCGAGCTCCTTGACCTTGGGGATCGAGTCCGGCAAGGGAGTGGTGTCGTAAAGGACCTGCTGGTTGAACCTGTGATTTGTGATGATGGTCAGCCCCTCTTTATCGGCAGACTATATGTAGTGATGATGGGGTCGCTGTCGCAAGTCGCCAATTGCTCTCCTGCAGCTGGGCGCAAGCCGGGGGGTCACATACTGGGGAATTCGAGAAGCCATCCTGTCGGTTCAGGCGAGCCTGTCGTTGATCGCAAAAACAACAAAGCGAGGCTTCGAGGGCAGGTTTTGGACGGGTAGCTTGATGATGGGTGTCGTACCTCTTGCCGGCTATCCTCGAATGGCCTGGCTGTGAGTGGATCGCGGCTGCCTGCTCATGATTGGCTGGTGAAGGCCAAGGTCAGGTTCTTGGCGTTGCTGCCCGCGGCCTCACCTTCCAGTGGACCTCCACCTCGGTCTACTCTCGGTGAGCCGCAACAAACCCAACGCGCTAGTGAAGTGACCAGAGGAGCTTTGACCTCCTCAACGCCTGCGCAGTGAGAGCCATTCAGAAGTGGGCGCCGTCTCTGTCTACGTACAACCCCGTAAATTTCTACAGGAATTGCCCAGCAACGACGGCTTTGCGAACCGCGACAATCGTGTCTCCCGACTCAGTATCCGATACCACGACGATCTCGATTATTACAACCAACGCGGGCCTATTGCCTGTCAATACGATTTGACTTGGAGCGCGTTTCGTCGACCAATTTATCCAACCTCTGCCGCGAATCCCCACTGTTGCTTTTGTTTTCTTTCGCGGGCTTCAGTTGTTTCCATCAGCACGCGCCATCTTTCTTTCTTGCGCTCTTCAGGCTACCATTTCCGCCAGTATACGACAATACCGGCACCATGAGTTTATTCGGTACAGCCCAGCAGACAGGCCAATCACTTTTCGGTGCTCCTCAGACAGGCACTTCGTTGTTCGGGCAAACGGTAAGCCATCCCTCTGCTATCTTCCGTCGGGTTTTGTTTGGAACAGTGACAATTTGACTGGGGCTGAACGCTGACGTGTCGGCCTAATACAGCAGCAACAGCAGCAGCCGCAACAACAACAACAGTCAACTGCCTCCATCCTCGGCCAGTCGCAGGCAAGCCAAAACCCGCAGTTGGGCAGCTCTCTATGGCAGCCCGGAAGCCAGACGACCTGTACGTTGCGCCTGTAGCTATCTGCTACACCATTCCTTGATGTCCTACCGTTGTCGAATTCCTCACTTGTCATCTTCCCCAAACCACGAGCACAAGATGGATAACAACCTCACAATGTTTGCTAACCTCCGACTGCGTGCAGACCAAAAGCCGATCCCGGAGCAGATTCAAGTCATCACTCAGAAATGGGACCCAACCAACCCCAACTGCGCTTTTAAGACGTACCTCTACAACAAGGTCGATGAGCACGCCGCTCCCCTCTACCAGCCCGGACCGAACGACGACCCCAAGGAATGGGAAGAGGCTCTCGCGAAGAAGCCAGGGCCGAACTACATCCCCGTGCTGTGCGCCGGCTTCCCCGCTATCGTTGCGCGCCTGCTTCTCCAGCGGCGCGTGATCACTGAGTTCAATAACAAGCTGCATGCCATCAACGCCAGTCTGGACGAGATCCTGTCGCGCCACGACCTCGAGCACTCGGTGCGCGCGCTCAAGGCGAAGAGGAGGCACGCGGAGCTGAGCAAGCGGTGCCTGGCGCTGGCGTCGCGGGTGCAGGTACTGCGTAACAGAGGGTACGCGCTGAGCAGCGACGAGGACGAGCTCAAGCAGAAGCTGGCCAAGATCGACAAGCACATCCAGGACCCGGCGCTGAGCGCGCGCATGGAGGAGCTCTGGAGTAGGCTGATTATCTTGAGAGGGTATGCGGATAATCTGAGAGATGAGATCAACAAGCCGGGTTTTGCAGAGAGCGACGGACTTGATGAGGAGGTTGAGGCGAAAGCGAAGAAGGTATGTTTCTTTCTCTTGGCGGCTTCTCACATTGTCAACCTGATGCTAACTTGGAGATGCAGATTCTCGAGGACTACGAGAAGCAACTGCAGCACCTCAAACAGCAGGTCGAGGAAGCCAGGAGGGAATATGAAGACTGGGAGAAGGAGCATCAGCCCACTCCGGCGCCCATGTAAAGGCGAGAGTGTTCGTGGCAGGACAATGGTGTGAGGCGTAAAACTGGTCAGAAAGTCTACTGGGGCTGCTTGAAAGCTTACTGAGAAAAGCAAGATCATGGATATGGGATTTTAATGTGGAAAAGCTGGGCTGGAGCGGAACGGGATCGACAGTAGAAAGCATGTATTGGCGTTTAGTGGTTTATGTGGGAATTGGCGGCTGGCACTGGAGGAAATACATCATGCTCGCAGGGAGTTTTCTTGGCCATAGCACCGAACCTCCTATATTCAACTGTGCTGTTTGCTTGGGTATCGTGCAAGCGGTTATCATAGACAGCTTCAAGCTAACTATACCCAGTTTTGATATACACTTGGCGTGATGGGTTGGGGTCTCAAGTGGATGGGCTCTGTGCGTACCGTACAAGGTCGTCGAACTATCATTTTGAATGCACAGCTAAAGGACTCGGACAGCCACGTACAAGCTCTTCGACGGCTGTCAAAAGCATGTGGCACGCTCTCAAGCCTGAATTTTCGGCAAAACACACTACCCCCATTCGGCGAGAGTACGGTTTACCGCCATCAACGGAGGTCCGCACAGCGTCCCTAGAAATATCCCAGTCCAAAAGAGAAATTGCTTCATTCCGAGAGTTTTGACACATATCGTACAACCAGAGGAATAAGGTCCGCGCCAGATGGGTATCATTATTCCTTATCGTTTTCTTATCGGCGCGGGAACATCGGAGCTCAGGCACCGCAGGCGGGCCGTTTAATGCAACGCATTTGTTTCCATAAGGCTGTCGTCTCTCATTGATACAACTCGTGATTTGTGTCTAAGTACAAATACTTAGAGAACCTTGCTAACAGCGTCGATAACGAAGGGAGCTGTATAGGTTTTTTCCTCTTGTTAGCACTCAGAACCAGACTGACGTAGGGCAGCGAGAGAAGCTGGGGAGGACAGGCCGGTAGATAGGTAGACGAACAGAGGTAAAGAGCAACGGCAGTAAAGACGGCACGTTGGATGGTGAAGGTAGCCTCGGCCTCGGCGGCCTGGAGCTCCTCGCGGGAGAGGGCAGGGGGCTGGACTGTGAAGTAGTAAATAAATGTCAGTACCAGTGGAATGGAGACGACATCGTGGTGGTTGGTGTATTTGTTTGTGTGATTGCCTTTCAATGCGACTGCAAAAGACTGTCAAAGACCAGTTAAATCAATGAAGACGGCACTTACATCCTCCGAACATTTTGATATGGAAGCCGCGTTGATGTTACTTTTGGTAGAACTGGTCGCGATACGGGCTGCTGGCGGGACGATGCGATGGGGCAATGGAAGATGTGAATGTATGGGTCGTCTTGAAATTTTGGATCCCCTGCATGTTTGGGGTGCCGGCCGGGCCAGTGCAGTGACGCCATGCCTCAGAACGGCTTTCCGCGCCGCAGTGTCCAGCCGCTAGGGATGTCGGTTCTTTCCCAATCGCCCCTCATTTCGCTCGCTTAGGCAGGCAGGTACGTGCCTAGGTTCGTTGTCTTATCCGGGACAGCTAAAGTCACGGTGTGCCCAGATAAAGTCACGGTATCTAACCCAAAGGAACATGTCCCCACATCCGTCATATATCTCTGCTAACCAAATCTCTAAGAAGGTTCGGTGGTTTGGCAATGGAGCACTGCGTCGCTTGCGCTATCTGGTGTAGTACAGTCTCCCTGGTTGGTACGAAGATTATGTGTTTCCCTAACGTAGTCCTCATGGTGCCTTACGTCGATTTATTCTAGCGACTCAAACCCAACTTGACGTTTTAAGTTTTGTTCTCCGCTTATTGACTATTAAAAAGTATGCCGTCTGGGCAGCATGTGGGGACATGCCCCTTTTGGTTAGATACCGTGACTCTATCTGAACACACCGTGACTTTAGCTGCCTCGGTCTTATCAGCTGTTATCAAAAGTCAACGCGCTTATCGGGAACGGCAAGGGCAGTCGATGCAGTGCCCAGCGCTTGTACAGTAATTACCCCTGTTCGTGCAACTAATCCGGGCTGGCGCTCGAGTTGCAGTTAGAGGGCACTTGCATTTAGATGGCCACGCCAAGACTACCTGGCTGCCTTGACATGGAAATTTTTGTGGGGCTTTAGGCTGTTAGCCCCACTGCTAAGCACTGCAAAGGCCCTAAAAGATGACCCAATAACTGCAACTACACCTATTTGATAGCCCGTCGGACTTGCAATTAGCAGTTTAGCAGTTAGCCATACTAAATAATTGCGGACTGCGACCTTGTAGCATTTAGAGGGTAAGTTGCACGAAAGGGTGCTTGCACGAACAGGGGTAATTACTGTAGAAAGCTCTGAAGGTCCCGCGCAACCTCAACATGTAACCCCTGGCGTCGGTCGGCCCGAGAATACCCGACTATCTTCGCTGCTAGGTAGTGGCAATCCTCACCCGGCATGTACCCTGTACCTCTTACCCCGTACCCCACAAGAAGGACAAGATCTGGCCCGGGGATTTTCTTAGCTAGTGACTGGAGCGACAGAACCTCCTTGGCCGAGTACTTTCAACCTAAATCAGACGACAGGAATGACGAACGAGATTGGGCGATGCTGGCAAGTTCAACGTTCCATCGTAGCCAGATGCATTATCAATTCGACCACTCACCGTACTCTTTCGCTTTTGCTTTTTCCCTCATGTGCCAGCCACTGCAGCGTGTGTCGTTGATATTGGCCTTGACGGCCCCCTTCAAAAGTAGAAGGTACTTTGGGATGAAGTCCCTGTCTCCAACCGCATTCCAATGTGTCACCCAAACTCGATCGGCCGAAAGTTCCTCAATTACGTTAGTCACTATCACGGGTGTCGGTCCTGACTGGTCCAATTTTTTTTTTTTTTTCTAATCTGCGCTTTGCGGCTTTGTTAGTGGTAATAAACCGGCCATTGGGGTCTATGGGGCCAACAGTCTCGACTCACCTCGTCATACTAGTGTTGCTGCTAGTAGTCATTGGAACTGCCTCTACGGGACGGGAATGCGCCCGGCTTTTTTTCTTTTGGGGTTGGGGCTTGATCTCTTCCGGTGGACGGTGGTGTGACTGTTCCGTTCTGTTGTTTTGTTCGTTGACCGGCTCCGGTTCGATAGACGAGAGAGCGAGTGCGTGTGTGTGTCAGTTGCGGTTGGAGAGATATCGGGAAACCCTATCGATACTCGGGAGACGGTCCGTCCAGATTCGCCCCGCCTCACTGACTCCTCTGTTACTACTTTTCTCCTTCTCCTTCTCCTTCGCCCTTTCGTCTCGTCTCTTCTTTTTCCTTCATTGTCGTACTTAAGTTCGTCCCATCTTTCCTCCTGTCCCGTATACGGCGGTACCTACCTTCCTCCAACCTACCAATCCACCAATTCCGCCGGGCAGTCCGGGCCTGCCTCATCCTCCCCGCCGATTCGATTCCCGTTTTCGTCGGTCAGTCCCGTTAGCTCACCATCATGACTGCTCCGGGACGTGTTGGCCGGCTGGGTCACATCGTCGGGCCCTCGACGATGGCTTTCCGAGGTGCCATGCCCGCTCACCTACCACTGAGGGCGTCCACTACTATCTCGTGCCCACAACCTCTGGTGGCTGCCTCCGGCCTGCGATGGGCGTCAGGTGAATCTTCGCAAAGAGGAAAGTTGCAGAAGATTATCCCCAGCACTGCTTGGGTCCAATATCCCGAGCTGTTCCCTGTCCGTGAGGACTTTGCGAGTCGCCATATCGGTCCCGACAACTCCAGCATTCAGGAAATGCTTGGGGTTTTGGATCCGCCGGTCGAGTCATTGGACCAGTTCGTCCAGGAGGTCATTCCCGCAGATATTTTGTCGAAGCGCGAGCTCTTCCCGCAAACCCGTGTCAGGTTCCACGCGACTAAAAAATACCCTACCCGCCAGGGCCATCAAGAGTGGGAAATCATGAAGATCGCCGAGTCTATGGCCTCAACCAACAGGCATAGCGTCAAGGCTCAGATTGGTGCGGGCTACTATGGCACTCTCACTCCTGAGGTCATCAAGCGAAACGTGCTGGAGAGTCCTGCTTGGTATACCAGTTACACACCCTACCAGCCTGAGATCAGCCAAGGCAGACTGGAATCCCTTCTCAATTTCCAGACCATGGTCACCGACCTGACCGGCCTTCCAATTGCGAATGCGAGCTTGCTGGATGAGGGAACCGCTGCTGCCGAGGCCATGACCATGTCGCTCAATGCTCTCCCTGCATCCAGAGCAAAAAGGCCCGCCAAAACCTATGTCCTCTCTAACAGGCTTCATCCTCAGACTAGAGCCGTCCTCAGGGGCCGCGCCGAGGGTTTCGGTGTCAACATTATCACTCTGGATTTCCACGACCCCGAATTCCCCTCCAAGCTCGAAGAATTGGGCGACGACTTGATTGGTGTCATGGTTCAATATCCAGATACAACTGGCCAGGTGTTGGATCACCGACAGCTCGCCGACCTTGTTCACAAGCAAGGCGCTCTTCTCAGTGTTGCAACCGATCTTCTGGCTCTCACCATGTTGACTCCTCCAGGCGAGTGGGGTGCCGACATCGCATTTGGCAACTCTCAGCGGTTTGGTGTGCCTCTGGGCTTTGGTGGCCCGCATGCGGCCTTCTTCGCGGTGCAGGAGAAGCATAAGAGAAAGATGCCAGGTCGTCTGATTGGTGTCTCCAAGGATCGTCTCGGTGGTCGCGCATTGAGATTGTCCTTGCAAACCAGAGAACAACACATCCGCAGAGAGAAGGCCACCAGCAATGTTTGCACTGCTCAAGCCCTTTTGGCCAACATCAGCTCATTCTATGCCGTTTACCACGGTCCCGAGGGCCTTCGGGCAATCGCGGAAAGGTGCAACTTGGGGGCCAGGGTCCTGGAGTCTGCAGCCAAGTTCTGCGGGCTGCAGCTCTACTCGCCAAATAACTCTTGTTCGGCGGTGCCGTTCGATACCCTTGTCATCAACCAAGACCATATCGGCAAGGTCTTGGTTTATGCCGCCAGAGAGAGAGGTATCAATATTCGCTTCATTTCCACCGACTCGGCCGGCATCAGTGTTGACGAGACCACCACCGAAAACGATCTTATTAGCCTTATTGGCGCATTCCAAGATGCTGCGAGGAGCCTCAAGATCACAGGCAGAGATGAAGCCCTTGATGCTAACCCGCAAGTGATCTTTGAACACTTCTTGAAGCACCATGCCGAGCAGATCAAGCAGTCCGGACCGCTGGGTCATCTTCCAGAACCCCTGCGTCGAACTTCGTCTTACCTAACCCACCCCGTGTTCAACACGCATCACTCTGAGACGGAGCTCCTTAGGTACATCCATCATCTCCAGTCCAAGGACTTGTCGTTGGTACATTCCATGATCCCCTTGGGCTCGTGCACCATGAAGCTCAACGCCAGTGCTGAGATGGCCCTCATCACGCTTCCCGGTTTCTCCAACCTTCATCCTTTCGTTCCGCCAGACCAGTCGGAGGGATACTCGAGGCTTGCAAAGGTACTTGAAAGCCAGCTGATTGACATCACCGGTATGGATGCCTGCTCGCTTCAGCCCAACTCGGGCGCCCAGGGTGAATTCGCTGGCTTGCGCGTCATTCGCAAGTATCTCCAGAGCCGGGCACAAAGCCAACGTGACATCTGCCTCATCCCTGTCTCCGCTCACGGCACCAACCCTGCGTCGGCATCCATGGCCGGTATGCGTGTTGTTCCCATCAAGTGTGACACCAAGACGGGCAACCTTGATCTTGCCGACTTGGAGGCCAAGTGCAAGCAGTACGAAAACGAGCTCGCTGCCATGATGATCACGTATCCCAGTACCTTTGGTGTCTTCGAGCCTGCGATCAAGAAGGTCTGCCAGATCGTGCACGCCCACGGTGGACAGGTCTACATGGATGGCGCGAACATGAACGCCCAGGTTGGTCTCTGCTCTCCTGGAGAGATTGGGGCCGACGTCTGCCACTTGAACTTGCACAAGACGTTCTGCATTCCCCATGGCGGTGGCGGTCCCGGCGTTGGTCCCATTTGCGTCAAGGAGCACCTTGCCGGCTTCTTGCCCACCACCAAGACCATGTCAAATACCGAACTCAACTTGCCCGTTAGCAGTGCCAGCTACGGCAGTGCCAGCATCTTGCCCATCAGCTGGGCCTACAACGCTCTCATGGGTAAGTTCATTGGTCCCTGGAGCTGTGTCGTGTGTTGTGTATGTGATTATGTGTGCTAACCACTGGAAACAGGCGGTGCTGGTCTCAAGAAGGCCACCCAGGTTACCCTGCTTAACGCCAACTACCTCCTCAGCCGTCTGAAGGAGCACTACCCCATCTTGTACACCAACGAGCATGGCCGTTGCGCCCACGAGTTCATCATTGATGCCCGTCCGTTCGAGAAGACCTCCGGCATCCAGGCCATCGACATTGCCAAGCGTCTGCAAGATTATGGCTTCCATGCTCCCACTATGAGCTGGCCCGTCGCCAACACGCTCATGATCGAGCCTACCGAGTCCGAGTCCAAGGAGGAGCTCGACCGTTTCGTTGACGCCTTGATCGCCATCCGTGAGGAGATCCGTGAGGTCGAGGAGGGCAAGCAGCCTCGTGAGGGTAACGTCTTGAAGATGTCTCCTCACCCCATCTCTGACATCATTGGCGGCGATGGTGAGGCCGGCAACAAGTGGGATAGACCTTATAGCCGTGAGAAGGCTGCTTACCCGCTGCCGTGGCTGAGGGAGAAGAAGTTCTGGCCTAGCGTTGCCCGTGTTAACGATAGTAAGTGGTGCACAGCTCTCCTTTCTTTTCTTTCTAAACAGTGGCTAACAACTTGTAGCGTACGGTGATTTGAACCTCTTCTGCACCTGCCCTCCGGTTGAGGATACGACCGGTGGCAACCAGTCCTCCATTCAGGAGCAGTGAGCACTAAGGCAGATTTTGATTTTGCATATGGGAGGGAAGTGACGGGAAGGTGGTCAGGTTTCATATTTTCATCTTTCAACATATACCCGGAGGCTAGCACACACTCGAGCAGCCTGACGTAATGTCAACCACTCAGGGGTGAGCAGTGGTTCTATGTTTTTACGGCTTACGTTTAACACGTACTTTCAACACTGTAATGAAAACGGATCAGGGGGGTCTAGAAAAAGGAGTTCAACAGGATCTAATCTAGGCTTGGCTTGCTTGGGTTTTTATAGGAAGGGATAAAATAAAGGATAGGGGAAGAGAGATCAGCGTGGGGTTGTTGGTGCGGTGCATTTACACAAAATGCCTTTTGAGCAGAGTTGGTTTGGTACCTGCCTTAGATTAAAATCAAACAGGAATGCAGATAGAGAGAACCATGGTTGATAGAGAAAAGAGCTTATAGATTTCATGAGTCGGAATGGTCAATATCTTCCAAGGATAAAAGTGTCAGGTTAAAATAAATTTGGTATTGTTGATTTTTGAAGATCGAAAAAGGCAGGTCGGGAAAACTGTCAAACAGTCTCGTAACTTTGTTTCTCATACGGTATGGTGAGAGAGTTGATAAGCCCATCAAGTGCGATACAGGCCTTCCGTCACTTGCTCATATCCATCACATATCTTCCAATAACCCTATTCGCCCTCATCTCGTCGAAAACGCTCTGAAGCTGACTGAGCCCAATAACCTTATACGGCGCATGGACCTTGCCCCTCAAAAAGAAATCCAACGCCTCGGCCGTATCCTCCCTATTGCCCACATACGACCCTTTGACCTTGATCATCCTGACCACTGTATCAAACACCGGCATGCTCACCTTGGCGCCCGCCGGCATGCCGATGCAGACCACGGTGCCGTGCGACCGCACATAGCCTGTGGCCTGCTGGAACGGCTGTTCCTGCGGCGCCAGCAAGACCACGCCCTGTGGTCCCAGTCCATCGTGCGTGGCCTTCTTCACATCAGCCACCAGGTCCTTGGACTCCTTGAAATCGATATACATCGCCGCGCCCAACTTCTTGCACGCCTCGCCCTTTTCCTTACCGCCATCGATAGCAATCACGTTCAGCCCCATCGCGTGGGCGTACTGTATGCCGATTGTGCCCAGCCCACCTCCGGCACCCACAATCGCCACGTACTGGCCCGGCCGTGTGTCGGATTCCTTCAGGCCCTTGTACACTGTCAAACCGGCACACATAATGGGCGCGACGGCGGATAAATCGGTCTGCGGCGGGAACCGGGCCAGGTGTGCGGCGTTCGCAACGCAGTACTGCTGGAAGGTACCGTCCGTAGTGTAACCTGAGAGCTGCGCCTTTGGGCACAGCGATTCTAGGGCTTGCTGGCAGAAGGTGCAGTGGAAGCAGGTAGACATGAGCCACTTGACGCCGACCTTGTCGCCAATGTCGACGTTGGTCACCAGCTCGCCCTTTTGGACTACTACGCCGGCGCCTTCGTGACCACCGATCACAGGGGTCTTGCGCGGCAGGGGCCAGTCGTTGTCGAGCGCGTGCAGGTCGGTGTGGCAGACGCCCGAGTATTTGATGTTAACGAGGACTTCGTCGTGGCCGGGGGTGGGAACAGGGATTTTTTTGTAGGTGATTACTGCGTGTTGGTGTTAGTAAGGCACATAGTCGAAATTCCATGAACTGGATAAGGAAGAGAAGAGAGCAACGGACCGCCATCCTTCTCAGTAACCTGCGCCCACTGCTCCTTGGGGATGTCTACTGGCTGGCTCATGATGCCGGTGCGGGTGAAAGGACGAGTTCTGTGTAGACAGCGGGATGAATAGAACCTGTCCTTTGGTTGTTGAATAGGGATATGAACAAGACGAGAGAGAGAACCTCTGCGGGTAACTTGTGAAAGGAAGACGACTCTTTTTGAGACAACACAACTAGGTGGAGAGGGAAGCATGTTCCGGCACTACTCTCGGAGAGCTCGTATTGGACAGCAGACGCGTCACTACCACGCAGCCGTGATATAGATATACTCTCAACGTAATGACGGTGTTATGGTTATGCTTGTGTCTGTGGGATGATGTGGCTATGATCCGTCGCCATGACAACTTTGACGTCACTTCCCCCCTTCGTTTGAGCTGTTCTCCGAGTGCAATGGCCATAGCTCAATCCCATGATAGAGCAATACTCGATCTCTGGAAGGCCCTTCTTCTCAAGAGATCTGTCCACCTAAACAAACCGCTTGATTGTCATTCAGCCTCACGACTCGAAGAGACCCATCATTCCCAGCGAGGTGCGATTTGTTGGAGGGCGCTGATGCCAAAAGGCAGGCCGAGCTGTCACCACCCTGCGCCAACGCGTTCACACCCAAAAGAAACTTATGGAGTGCCACAAACGGCCAGAGGAATCAGCCGCCGTTAAAAGCAGTCACAAGAAGTGAAGCTATTCAGAATTCCGTGGCTGCCTCAGCGAACAGGTGTTGACGATCAGGAGGTGCGGCGCCATGCTAGCTCGTTATGGAAAATTTCGATGTGTCGGGAAATGATTTGATTACTTCATCAAGATGTTTGCTGAGGACCTGCCAAGATCCAAAACATCCAGTGCATTGATGTGCTGCGATCGTGAAGAGAAAAGTCCGACGTCGTAGTCGAAGTACAAATGCTCATTGAGTTCAACGGCTGTGAATCTGGTGATTATGTCAGCGACAACCACTGACCGGGGACGGGGATCTTCAGAGTCTAGACATGCCAAGAAGAAGCCCCTGGAACCCCGCGATTCCAGATGTATTGAAGCTTATCAAGCAAAAAATTATTCAGCCGCCCCTCCTTATCGGCGATAAGGAAGAGACCTGTTGCTGTGATCGCAAAGTCTCTTTATACCCATCATTCAGCACACCTTTACCACGAACTTTAGCATTGTCTATACCCTTTTTTCTTCCTTGGACCTTACCAATTCGTCCTCATATTTCTCCGACCTCACCATCCTTACCAGGAATAGTCTTGCGCGAGCCCACCATGACGTTCCCACAAGACCCCCAAGATCCTAACCACCAGGATCACCAGGATAACGACATGCACGACGAGGACGAGATTATCCAGGATGATGAGATTGACGAGGTTCTTGAGGGTGACGACGCTGAAGGTGATGTTGCCATGGACTCCGATGACGACCACGAGATGGGTGAAGGCGACGAGGAGATTCTCCTACACAATGACAGCATCGCCTACTTTGATGCCCACAAGGATTCCGTCTTTGCCATTGCGCAACACCCCATCTACCCACAGCTTATCGCGACAGGCGGTTCCGAAGGCGAAGCCGACGATGCGCCCGGCAAGGGCTACGTGATCGACACCTCCGCTGCCGTCTCGCGCCCCGTCCTCCCTCCCAGCTACCAGTCCGACCCGAGCGCCGGCCAACAGCAGAACACCGAGCTCACCCCCATCTTCGAGATCGACGGGCACACCGACAGCATCAACGCTATCGCCTTCACACTACCCAAGGGTGACTTTCTCGCCAGCGCCGGCATGGACGGCCGGTTACGCGTGTACGCTGTTGGCACGGGCCACAACCAGTTCCAGTTCAAATTCATCGCCGAGTCACAAGAGACAGAAGAGATCAACTGGCTTCTTCCCTGCCCATCGGCCGACTTCCCCAACACGCTCGCACTCGGCGCCTCCGACGGTTCCGTGTGGGTCTTTACCATTGACCCAACCGACGCCGCTAGCCCGATCCAGATCGTCCAGTCTTACTTCCTGCACACGGGGCCGTGCACGGCCGGCGCCTGGTCGCCCGACGGCAACCTGCTAGCCACTGTATCTGAGGACGCGTCCATGCACGTCTTCGACGTCTGGGGCGTCGCCGCCGCCAAGAATCTCATCACCGACAACGGCCAGACCGTCGTCTCGCTCACCGAAGCCGACCAGCGCTTCGCCGTCGAAGGCGGTCTCTACTCGGTCGCCATCTCGCCCTCGGGCAACTTCGTCGCCGCTGGAGGCGCAGGTGGTAACATCAAGATCGTCGGTCTACCGCGCCTTTCCGAGCAGCCCCAACAAACAAAGCCAACAGCCTCCCGTCCCGCCCCTGCCATCCGCGGCCCTGCTGGCCGTCGCATGCCCGCCCCTTCACAACGTTCTTCCGCTGCTGCGGGTACCGAGCCCTCAGCCCAAGCAGGCGCCATCCTCGCCTCCCTCGCCGTCCAAGGGGACAGCATCGAAACCCTTGCCTTCTCTCCCTTGCCGCAGACCCTCCTGGCTGCCGGCTCGGTAGACGGCAGCATCGCCGTGTACGACACATCCCGCTCTTTCGCGGTCCGCAAGCACATCCGCGGCGCGCACGATGGCGAGGCGATTGTCAAGGTGGACTTTGTCAAGAGCGCGACTTCGCAACCCGGCACGCACGGGTGGTTGTTGACGAGCTGCGGGTTGGACGGTGTAGTCAGGAGATGGGATCTGCGTGGCGCGACGGCGAGCCAGCAGACGGTTCAGGGCGGTACCGCGGTGAGCGGGTTGATGAAGGAGTGGAGGGGACACAGTGGTGGAGAAGGCGGTGGTGTTCTGGGATTCGTGCAAGGGGAGACAGGGGAGAGAGTTGTCACTGCTGGTGATGATGGTGTGGTGTTGGTTTTTGAGGCTTGAGCTTGACGTGCATAGATCATGGGGGAAAAGGAGTTCTTGATATGGAGAGATTTATACCTTGGTGACAGGGAGTTTTGCGTTGAGGGTATCAAGATAGACAGCGAATTGATTGTTGCATATTTGGCAACCTTGGACTGCGGTCTCATCGCTATTCGACATGAAATGGTATTTGCAAAGCGAAGCGTGTGAAAGCAACAACGATTGCGACCACCGTCAAAGACAGGCCGCCAACATTGAGGGGAGGAGGAATTCGCAATTGGGTTCGAGTTTACGAGTCAAATGAATGATATCAGCCAGAGTTCCGGACGGTGTTTACAATTCTTCCAACCACGACTAAGCGGGACGTTATATGGGCGAAAATTTCTGGATACCTTTACTCAGCCAACTTGACCTCGAAACATAGTCTTTGTATATAGAATAACCGCCAAAAAAAGAACGAGGCGACTGTTCCTTCCAAACAAAAGCAAAAAACAAAACCCTCATGTTTACTTGCCACTGAGTAGGCAAAAGGGAAAAAGTAATAGTTGAGTGCGGTTTGTGTGAATCGAACACACGACCTTCAGATTAACGAATGAAGTGGACTTCAGTCTGACGCTCTCCCAACTGAGCTAAACCCGCTGAATATGAAGGCCTGAGGTCAGAATGGCATCTATATAGTGACTCGTCAGTCAATGTGTCCACTAACAAAGCGATACTGTCCATCATCCCTCCTTCATTTGTGCATCTTGCCACTCTTCTTTAACTGTTGGGATAGGCTTCACAAACATATTAAAAGGAAAAGTAGAATCAAATATCAAGCTATAAATAAATATTAACAGTACTTATAAGCATTAAATGTTTCGGACCAAATACTTCTAGTAACCGGGGGGTATATGCTTTATATAACCAAACGAAAATCACCTCTTTTATAACAAAAGGGTATCAATACAAATTTATCCCACAGTACCCTTTTAACCATAGTTTCGTACATCCAGTCCAGTCGTTAGTAGTTTGTAAAAGCAACCGAATCCCGCTTGTTCCTTCCCGCCATTTCACCCCATAAATCCCATTCATTCCCCTTCACCCTTTCTCCTTTTTTTCTCTTCCTTTTGACATCCACGCTCAAGGCTTAGCAACCTGCTCCTTCCTAAAGAACTTGAAGAACCCGATCGGCAGCACAAGCTGCAACCCCAAGACAATCCAAAACCACGGCCTTCCCAACCCGGGCATCACGCCCGCACTAAAATCCGGGAAAACATCTCCCGGTCCATCCTTATCCGGCGCCGTAGCCCTCGCCAGCATCATAAACACTGCCCCCAAAAACTGCGCCCCAATAAGCGTGGCAGCCACATGCTGCCTCGTGAGCGTCAGCAGCAAAACCATACCCAACCCCACTCCTTGCACGGTATCCAGCAGCCCTAACCACAGCCACAAGCAGCGGGAGATGATCGCCGAAAGCACCACGGAGCCGCACCAGGGGAGATAGAGCCCGATTCCACTGGTGGCCCACAACATCTGTGCCCAGCGCGGGGCGCCGAGGCCGATGGCAAAGAGGGGGACGATCCAGGGGTGGGTTTTGGTGAAGTAGGCGAAGAGCCAGAGCAGCAGACACCAAACGCCGACGAAGAAGCCGATGGCCAGAAGCAAGATGGCCCAGCCGGGAACGGCGCGGGAATAGAACAAGAACTCCCAGGTGCGGCCGTAGGGGGCCGAGAGGAAGTAGTTCTGGATGACGACCATCAACAAAAACCAGGGCACGATGTGGCGGCGCAACAGTGACTTGTAGAAGGAGGGGATCTTGTCGGGGAGTTGGCGGTAGTAATCAGGTAGACCAACGAAGGAGATGACGCCTAGGCACCAGAAGATCAGGGCGATGGGAACGGTGATAACGAGGGCGACGGGGACTTTGTTGGCGATCCAGGTGCCGACGTGCGGAGAGCCAGTAGGGGTTTGCGCAGTGAGGAGGCTACCCCAGTACCAGAGGGCTAGAATGTAGACTTGTTGAATTCCTTGGATGATGGCGGCGCGGAAGATCCAGGTCATGATGGGAACACCGCCTGAGAGATATGTTAGCATGGAAACGGCTGGCGAGATGAAGAGGAAAAGAAGAGGGAAAACAGAAGCTTACCTTCATCGCCAAAGTTCATGGCAAAGAACAACGATCCGCTTGATGCACCAGCGGCGTACAATGCCGACGCAGTGTTTTGGACTGGGAAACGGACATGCTCAGGCATAAACGGCGTTACGCCAAGCAGCATGAATGCCAGGCCATAGAAAAGCCAGGGCAGGGAGAGCGAGTACAGGGCCGGCAGGCGGCGGAACATGAACCACCACAGAAGGGAGCCGAGGGCATAGGTGCCGGCAACGATATAAAGTTGTGTGGGCGTTTGTCCGGATTCACCAGCGAGGAGTACGATCTGATATGTGTTGGCGGCAAGAATCTGGCCGAGTGCGATGATGAAAGAGTAAATGGGCCAGTCGCCGAGGCGGATGGAGAGCAGCTTCTTTAAGCCAGTGGGCGGCTTGTACCCGTCGCCAAGCAGAAATTGGTCGTCGCGATGGTGACCGACACCCTCATTGTTGCTGTTGTTGCGTTCCTCGTTCTCACGATCGTCGTCTTCGGTAGGCGAAATGCTCTGGACGCTGCCGATGCTCGCGTGTCTCGTCTTCTTAATCTTCAAGCCTGGCATGGGACTCCGGGAGCGGCTCGGGCTGCGGCTGCGGCCCAATTTGGCGTTTCTGAATTCCTTGAACCACTCCTTCTCGCTTTCCTTGAGGTAATCCTCGATGCAGAGTTCGGTTTCCGAGTTCTTAGCCGTGAGCCCGTTGAGTTTTCGCTCGAACTCGCGGTAGTATTGGCCATTGGCATCAGTAAAGAAAGGATCAACCTTTTGCAGGCGGAAATCCTGCCTGTCACCAACGACATCAATGACGGAGAGACGCGAGCTGTTGCGGTTGCGTGCTTGGTAGAGGGCTTCAGCACCGGGACGGGCTTGTGGATTGAGCAGACCAAAAGCTTGAGGACGAATCTCGGAACTGTCGGGAGACATCATGCGCATCGCAAAGGTGTCGATACTACTGCGGTCACCCGCGTGGCCGTAGACATTAGCTGCAATAGAGGCAACATCTGTGACCGACGAACTGGCAGAGGGGTTAAGGAACAAGGGGTTCGGTGGCATGAGGGGTTCATCAGCACCATCTTCACCACCGTGATCTGAGTGATCGCCGACACGGTCCACGTTAACGGTAGGAGGGGATCCTGGAGTGCCGGGAGGCGGTGACGCAATGCTGGGAATGTCATCATCAAAGGGACTGGAGAGGGTTCGTCTGTGATGTGTTGCACCGTCTTGAGGCCCCGGCGTCGAAACAGTAGATGCCGTTCGGGATCGTGCGCCCGCAGGAGTCGAGACTGCATCATCAAAGTAATCGCGCTGGGTATTGTTGCCGTGAAGATCAACGCTAGAAGGAACTGTGAGCAAAGAGCCACTAGGAACTCTCTTCCGCTTCTTGGCTTCCTTGTGATGAATGCGAATAGCCTCGGTCTGAAGCGTGTCGAGGTCCTCAACCCATTGAGCAACAGGGAAACGTTGCTTGGCACTCCAGGCTCTCATCATCTGACGGTCCTTTTTCTTGCTTTCCAAAGCACTGACAATGGCTCCACGGAATTGCTGGATAAGATGCTGAGGAGCGGTCGACTCGATCGTGTACCAGAAACCAGGCATCTGTCCAAGGCCACCAACGCGGGCACCAACGCCGAGCGCGCCCTTTCGACCGAATTCAACAGCAACCAGACCAAACGGTTCGTCGCGGGAGGGTATCAGAGCAAACTCAGCGCCGCTGAAGATACAAGGAGGCAGGGCGGTAAACTCGGGCTTGCTGTAAACGCGCTTGGGATACTTCTCCATAAGCTTCGCCAACTTGAGTGCCGCAAACTTTCCATACAAATCGATAACCGGGCCGACGCAAATGAGCTGGGTGGTGGGATACTTTTCCAGGATGGACGGGAAGATATCAGCAATGAGATCGACACCTTTCTGGAGCGACCATCTGCCGACGAAGACGAAGAGCTCCGCATCCGGGTTGACTTCCAACCCAGCCCACTCCTGCGCTTGCCTCCTCAAATCACCACGTTTTGCCTCAGCCTCGAGATCGACGACGACGTCCTTCGCCTGGATTTGCTCGTCTCTGCTCCACTCGGCCGTGTCACTCGGGTCAGGGTTCGGCAGCTGGCCGATCTTGGACAGACCCCAGAAGATGGGATAGCGGGCATAAGAGCGGTCACCATACTTCTTCGAGACGCCCACGGCACCAAAACCCTTTTGATGAACGCGCAGATAGCTTGCTCCGGCATGGAGGAGGTTGAAGACGGATCCGAACTGGACATACTCCTTTACAATTTCCGGATCCAAGTTGAATACCTCGCACACCTCCTTAGACTCCTCAGGCGTGCGCATAGGCCACATGCCTTGAAATTCGGCATTGTGAAGCGAAAGAGCGCAAGGAATGGTGCGTTCAGGAAGCAGATACAATGGCGCTGCCGCACCGTGATAGTCGTTGATGTGGTACAGGTCCGGGTTGAACCGACGAATGGCTTCAGCAATGCAGTAGTTCCATGCAGCATAGTAGATGGCCGAGTCCATGTCGTCCATGCGTGGCGGGTAGGGGTCGGCCTTGGATTGGGTGCGGAAGATGGGTGCGTCGAGCAGTACGTACGTGATATTCTGAACCTGGTGGTACTGCACTTCAATCTCGTACTCCTTGCCCATGATGGGCACGTACATAGGCTCAGCGCGCTGGTCGATAGGGTAGTCGATGCCACCGACGCAGGGCACAACCCAGATCAGATCCTGGTGCTCCAGTGCCTTACCCATGAGTTGGGCCATGACGCCGAGACCGCCAATCTTGATCTTAATGTTCCAATCGTCGATATTGTATTCCATCGTGGCTATGATGACCTTTCTGCGCTTGCCTGGGATGACGGCGAGCTCTGTATCGCCCACGTCCTTATGACGGAAGTTCTCGAAAGAAACGGTACTGCTGATGCGTTTGCCAATGTCGCGGAGTGGTGATCGACCGCGGCGCTTGAAGCCAACCTTGTTAACCTTGACCTTGTAAAAGGAGCCCATGAAAGTCCAGACGGCAGTGAGACCGCCGACGATGGGGAGTGAAGCCAGTAGGATAAACATAATGATCTGAACCGCCATGTTTCCCTGGGGTTCCTTGTGGAAAGTGAGCAGTGCATCGTTGAAGACAAGCTTCCAAGACAGCGCAGGCATCGGTGGCGGTTCCGTAGCATTGATCACGTTTAGTGCCAAAGATGAAGGCGGCATACGATCCAGAACCCCATCTCCATCCACATCGCCAAATACCCACCCGGCGTCAGGCCTCTGATCGGGATTCATGCCCCATACGTTGAGCTGGAAGTGCGTGGGCCACTCATCCATCACGTGGCCCTCCCACAGCCCGTCACCAACCAGCTTCAGCTCATTCTTGACACCAGCATCGAAGCCGAACTTGTTAAAGAGACCATGGGCGAAGAGGTGGGGTAAGCGGCGCGTCTTGGTCTCTTTGCTGTCACCAGACTGGACGAACGAGGCGCTACCAAGTAGCTGGGACCAGTACTGAACCATGACATGGTCACCGTCCCATTCCTGTTTCTTGGTCCCCTTCCAAGCTAGCTTATCGATCTTCTCCTTGCCTCCCTTATATTCGAGCCAGTCGCTCCAAGTCGAGCCCCAGTTGGTTGAATAGCGCCACTTATCGGCACCGGCCGCGGCGTGGTTGACGAAGAGATCACTACCCTCTTTCGTCACCAGCGTCTTCGAGTAGTTGGCCTTCATGGGGTTAACGAGCGGGTTGTTGGATGAACCGACACGAAGGAGGAAGTGATCAGTAGTGCCCGTGCTGGCATTACGACCGGACTGGGGGTCCTTGACGGTGATCCTGTGAATACCGTCCTTTACATTGGACAGGGTCGCATTGAACCTCCAGGTCGAAGGGATAGTTCCAACGTATTCGGCAATAAAGCTGGCCTTGATATTGTCGCAGCGGTGTGCATCGATCTTGATACTAGCGTTCTCTTCGGTTGTCGACGTGAAGGAGATAGAGTTTAAGACCTCCTCACAATCCATTTCCTCAGAAAACTCTAGTTGGATATCGACCTTGCCGTTACCGTAAGACTCGACAGAAGCGTCGTGGCCAGGAGTGAACTTGGTGATCATAGGCGGGGGTGACTCCCAATCTTCCTTGAGTACATACGCTCTGAATTCGAAGGGCGCCATGGTGATATTGCTGAGGCAGCCGCTCACAGCATGGGAATTAGCGAATCCTAAACTCTGAGTGGACTTCTCCAGTTTGATCTCGTCATATGGGTAAAACAAGTTCTTGACGGTTGCTCCGGCATCGAATGGAGAGACGAAGTCCTGGCCCTTCTTGGAGCAGTCGAATGTATACTCGGTTTCCTTGTCCTCGTTGTGATAAACAAGCCAGACGGGTTCAGCTGGATATGATTCTTTTTGAACACTCGGCATAAATGCGCGTGCAACGGACCAAATTCCGAACTCCGTGCTTGTGGTGCTACCTTCGAGCGTCACATTCCTAACCTTCGAACTAAGGGTCTGCAGGAGCCATGCTTCACGGAAAGTCTCATACGTGTCGCGCATGTGGTACATCGACTTCATAATGTTGCGGACCGGAGCCGATGGGTCACGATGATCCAGAGCAACCCTGGGGTCGGTGCAGCCGGTCCTTGATGTTTCAATGGGCCAGCCGACGTATTGGGTACTGTTGCCGACATGGCAGCCGTGAAGCATCCAACCGGGGGTAGGCGAGAAAGCTTGTCTTCCGAAAAGGTAGTTGTCCGCCGTGCTGTCAAGAACATAGAATTCTTGTTCCTCACCATAGAAGACTAACGGAATACCGGGCATATGCAGAGTCATGATGAACAGACCCAGAAGCATCCTCTGTGTACCCTGCTTGATGCCAGACCACCGGAAGACGTCCTGATTCATAGTTCCGTACATATGCCGTGGATCGAACAGGCCAGTATTAGGGTTGACGAAATCGTTAGTGATGATCATCTGGTTCCACATCTCAACCCAATTGAGCGGCAGGTCGTAACCAGCTTCCAAGTTTCCGCTCATACCGGCAAATCTGGTCAGAAACCGGTATGCCGAATAATGAAAAGCAGCAGCGTCAAGGCCATTTTTGCCCTCGTCACGGATAACCAGGCTGTTGTTCTTGCTCAGCTCTTTGGTCGTCAGATTCATGACCTGCGGAAAACTTGGCCTCTGGTTCGATTGCCGTCCTCTGCCGATATATATCGCACCGTAGCCGTCGCCTCCGGTGATTTCGCCGGGCATGAAGAAGTTGTCTTTGTTGTGTTCTTTGGCACACTTGCGGATGGCTTCGTTATGCTCGGCCATAGCATCGACCGTGACTTGCGTGGCCTTATCGAAGCGGAACCCGTCAACGTCAAGCACCCTGATCGAAAGACAGGAGAATAACTCGATGCGTTTGCGAACAGATGGTGCCCAGTCCCTCAACCGATCCTGGACACTAGCAAACTTGGCCAAGGAACGTTGCCAGTCCGGATGGACACCAAAGGCTTCCATGTCACCGTACTGGTCAAAATCACTGTCGTAGCAGCCTTTCAGCTGGCTAGTGACGTCCTCTCCAACAGGCATTCCCGTTTCATCCCAAAATCTGGGATATTGGCATTCGTCCTTGTATTCATTGGATGGCGCAAAATCGAGGTACTCTCGGTTACCCTTGTAGTGCACCTTGTGTTCTTTGAGTGAAAAGGGTGCGGTTTCGTTCTCGAAGCCTTTGAATGCTAGAAGATCGCTCATACTGAGTTCACTGTAAGCCATTTTCCGTGACAATGAGGAACCGCTGTTGGGAAAAGGCGTCTGTAACTTACGTTGAGAATGTGTGATCAATCATGACATACATATCACGTTTGTGAATCTCATCCACCATGCGTTGCCAGTCCTTGATGGTGCCATAATGCATGTCCAAGAGAGTCAAATCGATGGGCTATGGCGCGGTCAGAAAACCATATACCGATAACCTTTTCCTCTGCCATGATCACCTACCGAATACGAGTCAACACCCCAGGGGAGATTGATAAACGGTGAGCCAGCAATGTATATAGCCTGTTTCGTAGTCAGCCGAAATCCCCATTGCTAGTACCTCCTCCTGCCACTTACCTTTATTCCCATGCCCTGGATGTAATCCAGGCTGTCAATGACACCCTGAACATCGCCTCCATGCCGTAACTGGTTGCTCGTGGGATCTTGCTCATAGACAGTGCCGTTGATGTTGTCATTGGTTGGGTCGCCGTTGGCGTACCTGTCGAGGAAAAGCGTGTAAAAGGGGAATTTCCAATTTTTGGGGGATGCTGTGTAGTTGTCTCGTTTCGGGGCAGAATAGTCCAAAGGGTTCACGGCGTCCTTATTCTGGTTAAGGTTGTAGTCGACGTAGTCTGGATCGTACCGGAGCCCTTGTACCAAGGTCGCCAGGACGAGTGTGAGAAGAACCGCCGCCATGGTGAATAGAGTATCGCGCCCACGAGGGCGGGTAAAGCGAGGAACTTTTCAGATAGGAAAAGAAGTGGTAAAAGAGCAAAGAGGAGAAGTCTGTGGGAAAAAATCGGGAACACAATGGAAGCTTGACCCTGCCAAGAGCAGATATCAAGCGGTTATCGAACAGTCAACAAGTGACCAACAATTTGAAGCTAGGGGCGGAAAAGAGGAAGAATGGAAGCAGAGGTTGGGCAGCCAAATGTAATTATTCAAGCTGGAAGTCTACGATAAGATCGGGTAGCATAGCCACCGAGAAATCTCTTGAACATGGATGTCGAGCATAGACTATGACAGGGTGCGGATCTTGGTGCCTGTGGTCAGAAAATAGAGCTTGACTAAACCTGAACGGTGCTCCGCCCAAACGGAACAACCGGCGAAGCTGGAAGCTTTTTGGGGATAGCCATGAACAAAAGTCGTACACGTATTCTCCATTGGCCTATTCGGCTTCCAAAGCGAGAAGTCCCGCCAGCATGGAGCGGAAACAAGCCATCTGACGACCCACCAGGTTGGACTGATGACCTAGCCTCCCCGAAGGGCAAAGGTGCCAAAAGGTGGTGAGGACTGCGTTTATCCTCGTAGCAGCTGGCCAGTAAGAGAAGACGCCAATTCGGGGGCTCGTATCAGGGCTCGTAGGGCTGTGTCAGAGCGGCTCCAGGGCAGACCAAAAAAGCATGAAGAGAATGAAGAGACCCGCACGCCTTAGCGTCACCAAGACAAGACCCCTGTTCGCGAGCGCTTGGCCAAGGGGACGAAGGATTCGGATGAACTGGTGTCGCTTACGGGTGATCCTCCAGATCCTTTCGAAACTTACTGGATCCAGGCATCCATATTGCATAGTTCCGCATGTAGACTAGCTTAATCATGACTGGGGTCTTCCATCAAGAAGACCCAATGCCGGCGAGTTCACCACAACTTTGAACGTATGGTATGGCAACTCCGTGGCGGCATTGGTAATGCAATCATCCTTCACTGCCATGTCGGGTAGCATCAAAATGGCATCCGATGGTCCACGGACTGTTGTAAAACTCAACCACACGTCTTGAGTTGTTCATGTGGTTCGTAAGAGCCAGTCATGGATGGTGAAGTTCATCTGGTATGCAGCGCTTCGGACGCGCGAATCCACCCATTTGGCTTTTGCCTAGCAGGGAGCGCGGGCAGGCCGCTCGGAAGTTGCAAGATTGCTACCGGACCCGGGAAGCAGGTTCTTGGAACGCCGTTGGAGAAGTCGACAAGAAGGAGGCACTGTCAGAAAAGACGGAGAAGACCTACATGGAGGTGCTAATTCCAGTGTCTCCAGCCCCTTCAAGCATGAAGCATCTCATGTCAGCGAATCTTGATCAGCCACCAACTTGGATGGAGGCGGGAGAGATAAGCGATGCACCCGTACCAGTGGACAATACCGTGAAAGGGGGGGTGCTCGCGGTTTTTATCTCCTTTTGTTATTGTATCGTGGAGTGAACAGCCTGGAGATGTCCCTCGTCAATACAGGGAGAGACCTTTGATACAAACGCGTGACAGTAACAGCACATGGCCGGACAAGACCCAAAGGGGAATACACGTAGCCCCGTTTGACTGAGGCTGAAAAGAGATGAAAACATCTCAACTTGCCGAAGGTCTCCGTTGGAAAAAAGCGGGATGTGAACATCTGCCCGTAACTCACCATAATGACCCACCTAGTCAGTCATTCAATTGCAAAGAGACGAACACATGATGCCATCCGGGTAATGGTCAGAGAGGCGACTCCAACAAGCAGCAAATGTTGATTGCGATGGGCATTGGGATGATTTTGGTGTATGGAATTGCATGGCCGGTAAAGGACGGTATGTGAGAACAAGGCAGTGTGGTCAGTAGCCGAAACCGTGGCGCTCAGCAATCCATCCCCGAAGAAAAGGTATATCTTTCCACGGCTAGGTATGGATATGACTTCAGAAGTTGGGGGCGCGTTAAGCGTGTTGAGTCGCGGTTGACTTGCATGTCTTTCAAAGATTTGTAAATCACTGGCTGGATTCCTCTTGTGAACTCTGGAAAAGTTCGTAGAACTCGCCGAAATCTCTGGGTTCCAAGGCGTCATCGATGTCATTGACTTGATCATTGGCCGAGGTGCCGATAAAGTTTGCAGAGCAAAACGAAAGGAGAACGTGAAAAAAGTGAAATGGCTGGGTTGACAGGTAGGCAGGTTGGGTTGACCTTGGGAGCCTGGCTTGGCGCTTCCGTGGAAGGTTCCACTATTTCACTCGTAAGACAGGCGGGACTGCCAAGAGTGGGACAACTTTGGAGCGCCAATGAAAATACGAGTTCTTCGTTTAAGGGTTCCACCATGGTGGCATCCCGAATTCGAAACTCAACGGGACGTTGCATCACCATCACGGACTGCTTTTCAAGTCCCCAAACATCTCCCATCTTTGTACAGCTTCGCGCACTCAATGCTACAATCATTGCTTGGAGATATCCAGAAACGGTCTTGCGATCTTTGTCGCCAATTTTTCAGCTGCAAACCGCTGAACAGATTCCAGGCCGGTATCCGACAAATGCTGCGACAAAAGAGCGGTCATCGCATCTTGAATCGGACAAAATGCAGAATGTCGCCAAGAGCCGTTGGTGACAGATGGCGTGTAAGAGAGGGGAAAAGAAAAGAAGAGGATTCGGCTAAAGTTTCTGACCACACCCCTCCCCATTCTAGCTTTTTCATGGTTTCCTTCCCCTTGGTTAGCTATTTACAGCCCACTTCTTGAGACAGCCTTTTTTTCTTTTTAGTGCTGACAACCTAATGTATGGCTCAAAAAAACGGCATCACAATCATCCTTGGTCTCAGCCGCAGCAGGAAGCCGCTATTGCGGGAGATAAGCCTTCGCCCTTCCCAGCCCTTTCTCCTGTCCGTGCTGATAGCCCTGTAGCCCAGCAAGACAGAGAATCCTTGATGCTGTTGCTTCGGCCTCAGTTCTGCCAAAAAGACCTCGCTAGGTACTCAGGGTGTCGACTCATCTTGACTTTACGATCGGGCAGATAACGTTAAAGCTCCCCATGGCGCTCTTCACCGCGACTTTCTTTGAAGAATCCAAGAGATATTAGGTAGAATCTTCAATCCCATCCAAATCCACTTTGTGAATGTATCTGCCGGACGAAGTCCTACGATGGTCCAACAAAAGAAATCAATCAAAAGATGACTCCGAATTCTAAATCACTTCCTCAAGCACCGATGAGGTGGTCTTGACGACGGCAAGCATTTTCTTCTTTCGCAACCATTTCGTCAATAAACGCCGAACAGCCACAGATAATATGTAGGTTCCTTGGTGACTGTCAAAGCTTGGGATGAGGGATGAGGAAAATCTCATTTTGACTTGAAGTCCAATCTGAAATTATATAGTTATGCTAGAGACTAACGTCTTAATTCCAATATTAGATGCCCCTTGCCATGCCTATGTGCTCGAAGACAGTGATTCTTGCCCCCCCCCCCAAAAGAGACAATCGTCATTCTTGACTATCTTCCACAGCGCCGTAACCCTCAACGCCCTATTAAGACACTTTCAACAGTCTCACTCCTACTTTGATGGTCTTACATCAGTTGTTATATCATCCGCTTATTTTCATTATCAACGTTAGGCTATAAGTGCAGTGGCGCCTCTGGTCAGGTGTAACGAGAAAAGTGGTGAGAGTGACACATGTCACACACATTTAGAAAACCCGGAGTCACACACTTGATGCTGTAACTCCGTACTCGAATGTTCCTCACGGCCACTCGGGATGGCTACCTAAGAGAGATGTCAACTTCAGATAGCATCGAAGTGGTGTTTTGGAGTGTTCCAGGCCTATGACCTCAAATTAGAATCTCGCGAATGGAATCAAATAGGAAGAACAGTTTGAGTGAAGGACACTTTCCACCGTCTGACTACCGCCCGTGCTAGAACATTCAGGAAGAGGTATTCTTCAAGGTATACTCACGTTAGTAACATTTGCGCCCTTTGGACTCGGGAGATTGTAGAAACCTCAATCCCATCTCCACCACGACCAGGTAGTCTATTTCATCATATTCTTCCCATTGAATCTTGCGCGTTATTTGAATAATCCTCTAGTCAAGACCAATCCAATCTTATATATCCAGAGACGAACGCCTGCTCACATGTATGTAAAGGTAGCACAGGTGAGATGATGACACTAATCGAAACCGGCACAGAGCAATCAAGTCATCCATCACTTTCAACCACTCCTCTTTTTCAAAGCCCGTTTCATATAACCTCACTCCCGGAAACCAATAATTTTTTTCAAGTCAGGAAGAATAATACGCCACAGAAATAGTGCGATTCCGCCACAAATACCAACAGACGGGACTTAGCAAACAATGTCACCGACTCGCATCCGTGCCGCTGCCATATCCAAGCCGCATCTGTAGGTAAGGCGTGAAATGTGAGGGGGGTTGTATACAATCGAAAAAAAAAAGAAATAGAGGAGAGAGATAGAGAGACCAACAGCCGCTCGTTGGAATGGCATCTCAGAATCCGACGAGATACTAACAGATCCTTAATATATAACGTGGCAAACGATTTGGAACATTCTTTGGGATACTTAAATATACACCACCGTTATCCAACCAACAGGTGAAATTTACGGAGTTGTTTACGGTATTAGAACGGTAGACCGTTACGCCACTCGACGAAACGGTCTGTTGGTGAAAGCAAGTGGCCAGTTGGGTCAATCATAGACCCATCAGGCAGTCTGACTTGGTTTGAAATGGGATAGCATGGGATGAAAGGAAGCGAGGTAGCTTTGGCAGCTTGGTTGGAGTGTGATGGATGAAGTGGTATAAGATTTAAAACTCAAAGGTGCCCCCATCCGAGTTACAAAAAGAACCAATCAAAGACATAACTGGGTATCGCATTGAACTGTTTGAACGATGTGAGTAAAGCTATTCAACTCAAAGGGACTCCAGCGTATCACCATCCGAGAACTGTAAGCCGCATGACTCATCAGGCGTGACTCATGACTAAAACAAAGGAAAGCGTTCGGTAGGTTAGACGGTCTCGATGTACCTCTTCATCTCCCTGTTCAAATTGTTAGCATCTTGTCTTCATAAGTTCCTACATGGGGGCACTAGTTGGAAAGTTGGGGCAGTAACTTACCAGTCCGTGACGGCCTCGTCCCAGAGCCGGATCTCATGCTCTCTCGTCCCTCCATAATGGTCCACAAACTCGTCTCCAAATACTTCCCTCGCGATACTATCCTTCCTCATGAACCGGTCCGTAGCCTCCTTCAGACTCTTGGCTAGCCTAGCACCCGCATCCGTCACTCCACCAACCTGCTCTCCTTTGCCTAGCGGTGGGCAAGGAATCTCAAGCTTTTTCTCCACACCGCGCCAGCCCAATGCTAGCACGGCGGACAAGACGTAGAACGGGTTGGCATCCGCACCGGGGACGCGGATTTCGAAGCGGGTCGCACCAGCCTTGGAGCCCGGAGGACCGATAAGCCTGATAGAAGCGGCACGGTGCTCCAAACCCCAGGAGACGGTTACAGGTGCCCAGAAGTTTTCAACAAGTCTCTTGTAGCTGTTGATGGTTAGTGCAACCATAGGCATGACATCTGGCAGACCCTCAAGGATTCCGGCAAGGAAGTGTCTGCCCAGGTCCGAGAGATAAGCCACATCGGGATATGGGGCGTTGGGGTCGACTTCTTCACGAGCCAAGAGGTTTTTGCCATCTTTGTCAACGAGGGAGATGTGCATATGTCCGCTGTTTCCGGGGAGACCTTGCTTGGGCTTGGCCATGAAACAAGGAGTGATCCCGTACTTTGTGGCCACAGACTTTACGACATATCTGTGACATACATGTTAGCCAAACGCATGTACATGGGATGTGAAAAGGGGGAGCATGCATACTTGAACAAGCTGGCACGGTCGGCCATTTGCTTAACTTCTCCAAACTCGAGGGCAGCCTCAAATACACCCGGTCCACTCTCGGTATGCCAGCCCTCGATGTTGCACTGGAACTGTTCGCATGTATTGAAGATATCGTAGTAGTAATCCTTGTTGTGGACGGGTCGCGTCAAGCTGTAGCCAAACATGCCCTCGGTCAGGGATGGTAGTGAATGGGGAGGGTTCTCCTTCAGGTACGACGCTGTTGAATCGGAAGCGTTTTCTGACGGCGCTCGGAATTGAAAGAATTCGTACTCGGCTATTGTTGTGGCTTTAGTTGGTCTCGTTTCTGCAACACCTTGTTGTCCAAATGTACCTACCTCCAGCCATGGCTCCATACCCCTTCTCACTCAACTTTGCCAACTGCTTCCTTAAAAGACCGCGCGGGCAAGCCGACACAGGTTCCATGGTGTCGGGGTCATGGAAGCTGATTAAGAAGAACGGCACATTGTTCTCCCACGGAATGCGCCGGAAGCTGTTCAGATCTGGGATAGCAATGATGTCCCTGTATCCGTTCTCCTTGTTGCTGACCTTCAGCTCTTTTATGTACGTCTGATCGTGCATATCCCACCCGAAGATGACAGAGCAGAAGCCGAAACCTGATTCGGCAATGGAGAGAAATTTCTTCTTGGATACAAGCTTGCCGCGCAGTTGGCCGTCAACATCGATACCAGCGAGCTTGACCGAGTTGTCATTGGCGAGCAGGTCGGGGAGCTGTGCCGCCGTTATTTCTTTCGGGGCGTTACCGTTCGTGGCCATTTTGGATATCGGACACCTTCTATTCTAAAAGGGCGTAGGTATGGAGAAGCGTAAGGAGACGTTCGAGATGAGGGTCGAATACCGGTGGAATCAGACAGCGATGCGCTTTACAATAGAGGTTGAACAACCTCGCCAACGTGAAAGGATGGGATACTTAATTTGCCTTTAGGTTGTCCTAAGTTTAGACGGAAGAAAGGGTTCGACGCGCAAGATGGTTTCTGTTGAACCAGACGAAACCGGCGGATGGGATGATGACGATCACCTCGAGGGGCCCTGCAGTGGTTCCTGAGTCGAAACCCGGGCAGTTGCACAGTGCGCGCTAGAGATAAGCTTATCGCGCAGGACGGAATGAACTCCCAAGGGGACGGAGCATCTACAGTACGAAGTATGTACGAAGAGACCCTACGTCACCGCCTCAACTAAGTTCTGAGCTTACTGTACTGTACCACATGAACCATACCTCTACTTAGGTAGTCACGGCTGTACCTGGGCTTTCGTGGCTCAAGTAATTTGGACATAACGAGAGCCATCATGATGGACCTTTCGAATGTCTTGCAAGCAACGGAGATATTTCATCATGCGATTCTCGATCTTATCGGAAAGGTTTGTATAGAAACGTATCTTTTATCCTCCATCTTTCAACGATCTTCCCATAGTTACTGCGTACAGCCGGTACTCAATGATAAGCTCACCATGTCACAGCAGCCACCCCCAAGATAGATTCCGTCGGCAGCGAATACCACCAACCCCGCTTTGGGCAGCTGATCAACCCCGCTGGTGTCTTGTAACTGACCGACTTGATCATCCAGCGAGGTGAGCCAGGATATGTCGCGGTTCTGGTGTCATAAAGGGCATATGCGGTCACATCAAACTGCGACTCTTGAAGGAAGTTTAATAGATAGATCGCTCGACTTGCCATCACAACCAAAACAGCTTTGAAACTGAACCATGACGGCAGGACGGAATGTTCAAGATACCATCCACTTGAGTCCACATTATCTCCACGAAGCTAATGGCGGCGGGGTTCCCCACACATATCAGGGACCCCATCACCCCTCATCCTTTTGGGCAGGCCATCCCTACCTTACCTTGCTGGCCTACTGGCGGTGGTTGAGGTTGACAAACAGAAACACCATCATGTAGTGCGAACCTCGAGGGTAACCCATCCAGTCATCAAAAACTCACCAGTGAACTTACGATGCTTATCAAGCGTCACACATCAGCTGGCAGCCGCCATAGCTCAAACGAAAGGACACACTGCGAATTCGTGGTTCCGGTGGAGCAAGAATGTAACACGATGTACATGTCTCTCCCCGCCCTGTGTGTTACAATCTTGCCGTTATCGGACCCATGTTTGTATCGGCATCAACCGCCTCCTCCCGTCCGATAGCTTGATGTGTTTGTGGCTCTCATCGGATCTATCTGAAAGCGAGACATATCAAAGGTAGAGGTAGCCACTCGAGGCAAAATTTACGTGAAGCTCTCTAGTAGTTTGTGAAATTCTTGTCCACTGCTCCTTCTCGAGACCCCTAGAACGTCATTGTTCCCCGCTACTAAGATCTCAGCGGGCCAGTCTATCCAGGTCCCAAATTTCCCACCCTAAGCATTTAGTCAAAATGTATCCCAAGACATTAGTACTTACCAATCCATTCAACTTTTTGGACTCTCCACCAGGAGAATTGGAAATCCTTTCATCTTTTGAAGTCAAATACTGCTGGAAAACTCCTTTTCGCAACTCAGCTGGCCCAAAAGGGGGCTTTTTGGGTGAAATGCTGCATCCTGGGTTGCAGAGCACATTTGGTCGAGGGACATGTCTTGAGAAGAAAAGAGGTCTGTGCACTTCCTTAAAAGGGTAAGTTTTTGGGACCTGGATAGACTGGCCGTCTCAGCTACGTTGTCTGTGGACCTTAACAACCACCCCGCTGCTCGTCTTCGCTCAAGAAACTGACATCGCGAAAGCTTGTTCACCTACGCAAGACGAACCTCATAACCATTCTTAACTTTGATCTCCTAACAAACTCATACATCATGCCTGGACGTCTTGCGGGTAAGAATGCCATCATCACCGGCGCTGCTGGGTAAGTCAAGCCTAGACACCAAGAACGCATCCAGAAATGGACAAATTAGCTGATTCCACATCTTCCCACGTCCGATAGAGGCATTGGCCTAGAAACCAGCATCCTCTTCGCCAAAGAGGGCGCCAACGTCCTCATGGCCGACATCTCCGCCGAAGCCATCCAGCGCGCCGAAGCCAAAGTCAAGCAGCTGGTGCCCAACGCATCGCGCGTTGAATCCATCGTACGTCATATCCATTTCTACCCCAAGAATAACTCTCCTCCCTCTTATCCAAGGCCCAGGTAGAACCAACCAGCTAACCGTTCGGCGCCCGATCTAGGTATGCGACGTCTCCAAAGAAGATCAAGTAGAAAAGATGGTCTCGCACCTCGACCCCTGGGGCGGCCTCGACATCATCTTCAACAACGCCGGCATCATGCACAGCCAGGACGACGACGCCGTCGCCACCCCCGAGTCCATCTGGGACCTAACACACAATATCAACGTCAAGGGAGTCTGGTTCGGGTGCAAGCACGCCGTCCTGTCCCTGCGCAAGCACAAAAAGACCAAGGGCAGTATCATCAATACCGCCTCTGTCGTGGCCCTCGTTGGCTCTGCCACCCCCCAGCTGGCTTACACGGCCTCCAAGGGCGCTGTCCTAGCCATGACGCGCGAGTTGGCTATGGTGCATGCCTGCGAAGGGTTCAGATTTAACAGTTTGTGTCCGGCTCCCCTCAACACGCCGTTGTTGCAGGACTGGCTTGGTGATGATAAGGCGAAGAGACTGCGGAGGGAGATTCATTTTCCGACTGGGAGGTTTGGAGAGGCGGTGGAGCAGGCGCAGGCGGTGGTGTTTTTGGCAAGTGATGAAGCTAGTTTTGTTAACGGACATGATATGGTGGTTGATGGCGGCATGACGAAGGCGTATGTTACACCCGAGGGACCGGCGACGACGGCGCCGGTTAATAATGCGCTGAAGGAGAATTTGGAGGAGTAAGAAGAAAGGGTTCTTAGCCCTCAGAGACTGTGATAAACAAATGTTTTCTGTACATTTGCGCAGTGAGCAACCGTATGCGTCCCCGACATGAAAATGTACAAAGCGACGCGATGTGAGGTTTATACATGTGAGAAGAGGCGCAGGGAGCTGTAGAAAGAATGCATAGTACAACTATTCTCATGCATTGCATCTATCAGGAAATAATGAATGTACCAAAGATCTTTCGTATAACTACTAATCACCAGGTCTATTAACCGCATATAGACAGCTAAACAACGTGTAGTTCGAAGAAAAGTATGTTGTCATAACCAAAACAAAGATAACAGAAGAACATTAGAACAAGACGCCCCATGAAATGCCATGCAAAGACTTCGCCTAGAGCCAACCAACCGAACCCGAAATAGCCGCCCGCCAAGCAAGTCCCCCATTGACCTCATCACCTACTGCCTAGTAGGTTTGTATGCCCTCACCCAGTCGTGTGCGTACTGTATCCCGACCGACCGAGCAACTGATAAGCCCCTTATACGAACTGGTTCTCAGTGTTACCCTCGCCCATGCTCTTGCTACTCGAGCTACCGCTCTGAATGTGTCCCAGAATGGCATCAACATAGTTGGCGCCGCTCCACTTCTGGTGCGTGAGCACATCAACACCGAGCTCCTTCTCGCGCTTCTGCACCAGCTCAACATACGCCTGCATGCCCTCGTCCTTGTAGCGGCGGGCCAGCTCGTTGCTAATGGTGGCGGTGCTGTGCAGACCCGCGAGCGAGACGAGCTGAAGAGTGAAACCTTCCTTCGCAATGTCCCAGATGAACGACTTGAGCGTGTCCTGGGTGAAGCCATGGGCCATCCAGTTGAACGAAGGGGAAAGGTTGTACACGAGACCCTTGCCGGGGAACTGTTCGCGCACGGCGCGGCCGAGCTCCGTGGCCACCTCAACGGACGGGTCGCCCGTCTCGACCCAGAGGAGGTCGGCGTAGGGACCGAAGGCGAGGGCGCGCTTGGTGGCGGCCGCCATGCCGTTGCGGAAGTGGTAGAAGCCCTCGCGCGTGCGCGGCACGTCCCAGTCCCAGTACACGGGGTGTTCGGGGGTGATGGATTGGGCCAGGGCGCGGCGGGCCGTGATGCCCATGTTGGGGTTCTGGGCAATGGTGGCCTTGTAGGTGGCGAAGAGGTCCTGACGGACGTTGTGGTGCTCAAAGTGGGCAAGAGCAGCCTCATCGAAGGTGACGAGCTTCGTGTTCTTGACCCACTCGGCCTCGTAGGCGTCGATCTCGGAACCGGGAGCACCGCGGGCTTCCATGTCGGCGAGGGTCTCGGCGAGGGAGGTGATGGAGGGGTCGGCGACACCGAGGATGAACTCGTGATCGCGGGCGTCGATGGAGGAAGAGAGCAGCTTACCACTCTCGGAGTCCGTGCGAGCAATCACAAGGTTCTCGGTGCCCATGACGTCCCACTGGAAGCGGGCGGCCTTGAGGCGGTTGATGTGCTCGCCGGTGGGGACGAGAACCTTGCCGGCAAGGTGACCGCACTTCTTACCACCGTGCATCTGATCCTCAAAATGAACGCCGGCGGCGCCATTCTCGGCAAACAGCTTGGCAAGCTTCATAACGGCGGTCAAACCGCCGTGGCCGGTGTCGCCGTCGGCAATGATGGGGCGGAAGTAGTCAGTATAAGGGGTCTTGGCCCGCTCCTCAGGAGTCATCTTGCTGCGCAGGAACCATTGCTTGCGGTCATGCATGCTCTGGGCCTTGTGAAGACGCTGGACCTGGTTGGGAACGGTGTTGTAGGGGTAGTCGCCAAAGTCGGGCGATACCTCGTTGGTGGAAGTCAGAACCGAGGAGCATGCCCAACCAGAAATGTAGAGGACCTCCTGATGAGGCGCCTGCTGGGTCATCTGAACGGGATCGATGGCACCCAGAGTATGGATGGGCTTGCCCTGCGCGTAGCGCTCCTGCACCAAGTTCCAGAGCTTGCGCGCCATGACGGACGAAGTATAGGTCTGCTGGAGCGAACCGCGCTTGCTCACGACATCGGCAGCAGTCCAGTCGCGCTTGATGCCCTTGAAGCGCGGCGACGCCCACCAAGCCTCAACTTCCTTGATCTGTTGTTGGAGGAGGGCATCTTCGGCGGCGCCGGCTTTCTGCTCCTCGGGCAAAAGCTGGAAGGACTCAAAAGGAATGGTCGAGGAAAAAGGATGCTCAACAGGAGCCAGAGGCGAGGGAGCGGTCATCCTAGCAGCTGATGTCGAGAGGAGCCGAGCGTGCGCAGAGGTGGTAGTGCTGGTTCTCACGGGGCGGGCGCAAAGACCGAAGAGGGGGGATGAAGTCTGCGCCGGGACAGTTCGCCGGGAGATTCTGGGGATTGCCCTGCGAAGCATTGTAGCTTTCAGAGCGTGTGAAATTTGGTAACTGACTCGTGTACTTGCAGTTGCTTTGCAGCGGGCTTAAAACACAAGCTGGCCTTCTCTTCTTAAGAAGCGCAGCTGTGTTGTCCGGGAATGGAGCGGGGCAGCGTGGTGTAGCAGCTTAGCGGTAAGTACCTGAATGAATGAATGAATGTAGGACGAAAGGTTTAAGTGGGATTTGGAAACAAGAAGATCTCAAAGACTGTTGACTCTGTGAAGAGTTGTTCAAGTTGGGAACGACAGACTGTAAGGCAATTATTAAGCTAACTTGCCCCCGTCCTACGTTGGCAGGAGGAGACAAGAGGAGACACGTCTGGCAACTTGTCGTGTTTTGGTTGCGATACAGTATCGCCCCCCTGCCACAACCGGCTGACCACCGCTTTCCCCGACGCTGCCCCGATGGTGCCGACTCCATATCTCCATACATCTTGTGACGTGACAACCTGGGCTATAACCTGGGCCTGGCCGCCAAAAGTTGACCAATGTTATACCCAACACGGGCAGTGCACGCCGACGAGTCCCCATCTCCCCGCCATGAGACTTGGAGAAGGTCCATAAAAAGGAGAGTGAGGTCCATTCAGTGAGGACTGGGAGGTCCATCTCGGCATTGTTATCGGCCTCACCACCTTCCTGCGACGTCCGTTCCTCCGGACATCAAACGCCGGCTGACAATACAAGCTGAGTGGCGACAGCCGAGGAAGATTACCTTGCCTGTCATTGGCCAATGGCTCCTGTCATGCTTCCCCGCATCTCCCCAGATCGGCCGTTCAGGGGGTAATGCGATTTTCCATGAGGGGAGGGAGGGGCATGGCCTGGAGGAAAGGAGGACAGCCTTGGCCAGGGCAGACTAACAGGCCGCTGTGGGAGACACACGCAGACTTTGTTAGCGAAACCATCCTTCAGGTCCTTTGAGGAAGCTGGCCGTGGCCGCCGTGGGTGCTGCCGAAACGGCTTTCCTCGGTTGTGAGACTGCAAACTGGACGGATTGGCGTGGGGGTTGGACCAAACGGGACACGGCGATGCAACGTCGTCACAAGCCGAATGACCGTGGGAAGCCGCTAAGGGCTTTGATTGGGAGGAGAAAAAAAGACAAAAAGGCAATGCGGTTCCTGGAGATTGCTCGGTGTGCTTGTGTCTTGCGAATCCTATCTCTTGATTCTTAAGACGACGTCGACGGCGACAACATTCACTTAAACGAGTCAGTCAGTGTCCACAGTTTCCAGCTTGCTTCCACTTCCCCAGACTGTCAAACAGAAAGCCTCAGGTACGGGATGGAGTCCTTGCCCTAGTTTGCCCGCGCTGTCTCCCAGATGCCCCCATTCCAAGGGAACTCCGCTCTTGCCGTCATGTTGACAGCTGTCTTCCAGCACGCTTGTCCCCATTTCCCCAGGCGTTCAGCGGCCCCAGTGTCCCCGCCCGCTTCTGGGGTAGCTCCAGCTGGGACCCCACCACATCCCTCGGCCTGAGCAGCGGTGGAAGACGGGAAGCGGCGTGTCGTCGCATGTGTTGTCGAGGTTGTACTGACCGGTGTGCGACCATAAGTACTTATAGGGTCGATCGAGCAATTGGCACCTCTTCTTGTTTGGTTATTCTTCTTCATCAGCGTCGATACCCTCCGATTTTTGCTTGGTAGATACACGGTACACACACAAAGCTCAAAATGGCCATGAATCTTAGAACTGGGTCCCGGGCGTTCGGTGGAGCCCTCCGTGTAAGTGTTATGCGGACGCGAGTCAGGTCATCGCATCTTTCTCCGTCTCTCCCTTGCCTTCCCCAGCTTTTCCCCATCTCCCGTCTTGGGATGAATTCCACTTTTGGCGTTTGGCAGCACAGGACAGCCTTGCTAACATGTGTATCCCCCCATTCTGCAGAATCATGCTCGTGTCTCGCGACGAGGCTACGCTACCGCCGAACCCGATCTCAAGACAGTGCTCAAGGAGGCCATTCCCGAAAAGCGCGAGCTCTTCAAGAAGGTCAAGGCCCATGGGAACAAGGTGCTGGGCGAGGTGAAGGTCGAGAACACAATCGGTGGCATGCGCGGCCTCAAGGCCATGATATGGGAGGGCTCCGTACTCGATGCCAACGAGGGTATTCGCTTCCATGGCCGCACCATCAAGGACTGCCAGAAGGAGCTTCCCAAGGGCAAGAATGGCACCGAGATGCTGCCCGAGGCCATGTTCTGGCTTCTCTTGACCGGCAAAGTCCCCTCCACCAACCAGGTCCGCCAGTTCTCGCGGGAGCTCGCCGAGCAGGCTGCCCTGCCCGACTTTGTCAACAAGCTCCTCGACAGCTTCCCCAAGGACCTGCACCCCATGACCCAGTTCGCCATTGCCGTCTCGGCCCTCAACCATACCTCCAAATTTGCCAAGGCCTACGAGCAGGGCCTGAACAAGGCTGACTACTGGGAGCCTACCTTTGATGACTGCATTTCCTTGCTCGCCAAGCTCCCTACCATTGCCGCCAAGATCTACCAGAACTCGTACAAGGGCGGTGGTGCTCTCCCCGCCGAGGTCGACCTCGAGCAGGATTGGGCCTACAACTTTGCTGCCATGCTGGGCAAGCCCGGCAAAGAGAATGAGAACTTCCAGGATCTTCTGAGGTTGTACCTTGCCCTTCACGGTGACCACGAGGGCGGCAACGTCTCTGCACACACCACCCACCTAGTCGGCAGTGCTCTGAGCGACCCCTTCCTCGCCTACAGCGCCGGTCTCCAGGGTCTCGCCGGCCCTCTCCACGGTCTTGCCGCCCAGGAGGTGCTCCGCTGGATCCTTCAGATGAAGGAGGCCATCCCCTCTTCCTACACGGACGAAGACGTGCGCAGCTACCTCTGGAACACGCTCAACTCGGGCCGCGTCGTGCCCGGCTACGGCCACGCTGTGCTCCGCAAGCCCGATCCCCGTTTCGAGGCCCTTATGGACTACGCGGCCTCCCGCCCTAAGATTGCGGCCGACCCCGTCTTCCAGCTCGTGCTCAAAAACAGCCAGATTGCTCCCGAGGTTCTGAAGCAGCACGGCAAGACCAAGAACCCCTACCCCAACGTGGACTCGTCCTCAGGCGTCCTGTTCCACCACTACGGCTTCCACGAAACCCTCTACTACACCGCCACCTTCGGCGTCTCGCGTGGTCTGGGCCCGCTCGCACAGCTCATCTGGGATAGAGCTTTGGGTCTGCCGATTGAGCGACCCAAGTCCATCAACCTCGAGGGTATCCTCAAGCAGGTTGAGGGACAGTAAATGCCGGTTAAGATTGAACGAATGATGTAACGAAACGACCTGGAGTTGGTTGTGTCGTTGTTAGCGATTACACAGTGTCGCGATGATATTCTTCTGGATCACAGGACAGAAGCGAGCGAGCGAGAACGCCGAATTCACTTGCCTTGTATGTATGTATTATGACTAGGACGTCGCCTGTTGGTCTCATTTTCGCTTGGGAGAATGGGTCGAGTTGCCGAGGCCGTCCATTTTGTATTGTTCATTTTGTTGGTTTAGATATTTGCAAACACTTTCTAATTCCTTCTCCCTTCCATGATCTCACGATCACATTTATTATGGTGTTTTGGCCTTGAACTCGACTGCTTCCCTTTGGTAAACGCGTCTGTCCGACTTGCGCTTCGGAAGATGACATCCGTCTACGGTCACATCTCAAGTCCGACTGACTGACTGATCTGACCGAATTAATCAGAAGGCTTGACTAGAAAGCGAAAAGAACAATGAAAGCCATGGTTATTTTTGGAATCAATATCCAGCTGTAAGGAATACGGCACGCCAATTGGTCTCCCGTGTCCTGGAATTGGGTTCGCGATGACATTAAAGTGGCATATATTGCATTCGCTACCTTAGCTCCGTGTAATGTATTTTGTCCAGACTCAGAACAGATCCAAGTTACCCTGGGTTGAGTAGTGTATGGTTCGCGCTTGCATGGTGCACCTGAAGTGCTATCTGAAGTAATGGGTCTATTTGATTGCATTCCTTCCCTACTGTGAATGTTGGGCGTAATAGTCATGTCAGAACCTCTATGCTAGATAGGTTCCTTTACGGAAACAAGTTCTACCCGTTGGGGAGGGGAGCAGAGTTGGGGAAACGACAGGAAACCTGACTACCCCCTCTGTCGTTTCTCCAACTCTGCTCCCCTCCCATCTCCAACGGGTACCCTTTGTCTCACAATGCAACCTCGAAGCTTTTACACTACAGATCCCCCGCACCCCTCACAGCCTTCAGGTCTCGGCCAAAGCGTCCCGGATCATCGAATGATCAACGTGGTATTGCACCTGTCTGTAGTGTACGACCAATGACACGAGTGAGACTGAGCCAGGGTTGGGGAAACCATGGGTTTCACTCGCTGGTTATGCGCCAGTGATCATCGTTGTACCTATGTAATGTAGATAACTTTTTAGTCGTTTTCATCCAGGGGTGACCGTGAGAAGCTGAACTTCGATGGGGCTTTTGGGATGACGGAAAGAATAGCTTTGGCGGGAAAGAGTGAGGAAGCTGTTGTTTTGGGGTCATCAGAAAAAGGGGGGGGGGATAAGTTGGAAGTGAACATAAGGTTTGAGCAAGAAAAGACGTGGAAAATTGCTATCGAGCGTTGTGTCTAGAATTCTGGAGATAGTTGCAATGTAGGTATATAAGCATTTTTTTTTTTTTGCTCTAAGTAGGATAGTAGTAAAGAAAGCATGAAACTACTTACCCCTTGCAACTGTAACAACCAGCCGGAGTATCACGGGCAAAGGGTAGATGGTAGATGTGAATATACGTAATTGCACGAAGGAGAAAGGAAGAGAAGTGTGCAGCCGAGTGCCCGGAAGGCTGGCCTTATGAGGGCGACCGCCGGCGGATCTATGGACCCGCGGCAGGCAGCGCTCTGACCAATCAGCTGCCGGCAATGGCCGGATTGCCGGCCCGGATTGCCGGCGGTGATGACAGCGTACGGCAGTCTTAGAAGCTGCTGTACGCTGGCACCAGGCACAAGGCACA